AGAAGTCGTCAAGACGAACACGAGATGGAAGATTCTAGAGAAGGTCAGGATGTAAGGAGTCATCAAAGGGGCTCTAGAAGATTCCACCACATTCAGGAGAGAGCAAGAAGGGAAAGCTCTAAAGAGGATCTAAGAATAACCTAGAATGTTCTAGAGTTATTTATGTACATAAGAATAGTCTAAGAGATAGAATATTATATTGTAATCTAGAAGCTTCTCTTGGATATTGTATAGTCCCACATTGGCTAGATGAAAGGCCAAAGGCATGGAGGAGGCTATAAATAGGAGCTCCTCCCCTCATTTGTAATTACCCAAGCATTGAATCAAAGCATTCTAGTATTCAAGTGCTAATTATTCCTTTCTCTCTATTATTCTTCTTAAGAGTGTTTGGGGCTCATAAGTCCAGTGTTGTGAGGGGTAAGGCTGATTTAGTGCTAAGAAAGAGCGCTAAAGCCGCACGGGTGACTTGAGGAAAGTTAGTCCGTGACAGGCGGCTTGCAAGTGTTAGCGAAAATAGAGTTAACATAGACAATTAACGGAGTTTTGGATTTTGTAAATAGTAAAGTATACATGTTAAATGTGTAAAATCCAATGTTCTTATTGTACATTAGTCATGTTCTTATACCATTTAGACTCTAACAGGTACGAAAGTCATGTTCTTATTGTAATGTTCAATAGCCAAATGAAAGTTGCTATAGAGGATAATCTTGTTGCAGAATTTAATCAGAAAAATGTTTCTTTTATGCAATACAAATAAGAATGGGCCTTGTGGGAAGGAGGAAAAGAATGGTAAATGGAGAATTAACCATGGTTGCTCCCTGCTGTTTTTTTTTTTTTCTCTGGTGTTGCGAATGCAAGGAGAGTGGTTAAGAATAGTAAGGGTCTAAGATTTTCTCTTTACGACTCAAGAAAACAATGATAAAGATTCTTCCATCGATGTAAGCTATTTCATTGCAGAACTTATTATAATTTTTCTCGTATATACTCTATATTGTTCTATACAGTGTAAAGTTTTAGAATGTCAATTTTCAATTTCTACAAATGATATCAGAGCCACTACAAGACGGGACTTATACAGTTTGAAATGAAGATAATGCTTTGTTGGTTCAAAAGTACCAATGAAGCTTTATGAGGGGAGAATTTAGAGACAACGAAAGAAAATAAAAAGGCTCTCAAGAAGGCTCACAGTTTCTTGATCTTGAGTCTTATATTCAAAGTTCTACGTAAAGTAAATAAGGAGATGATTGTTGCTAGATCTTACTAGCAGAAGAATCAATTCAAATGACAAAAATTCTGCCAAATCATTTGTATTATAAGATAAGTATTTACAATTTTAAGATGACGCTCAAGAAGACAACAGATGAATACACGATGAATTCAATTCTATAGCCTTTTAACCTTGAGAACATTAATATCTCTATTGAATCATTGATGATGAAGATCAAGCTCTACTGATGTTAGGTTCTCTTCCAACGTCTTAAAAAAGCTTGACAAGCATGTAGTTGTACGAACGTGAAGCTTTATCACAAGAAAAGGTTCAAATAACTTTGAATTCCAAAGAGTTGCAGAAAAAGTGAGATGTAAAAAGACATCTCCAAAGAAGGCTTAAACCTTTGAGGTCAAATGGAGAAATGTAACATCAAACAATGCAAAAAGTCCAACTCAAGTAGAGATCTAAACTGTTGGAATTCAAAATAAAGCAGAATAAAGCGGACATGAAAGGATGTTGGAATTCAAAATAAAGCGGAATAAAACGGATATGAAAGGAGGTATAAATAACCCTTAAATGAATCCTAGAATAGGAAAGACAAGAAAAAGGAAATAACATTAAAGGAGAGATATAACAACAAATATCTCCAACTGATCAATTCATATTAATTATTTGGAGATAAAGAAACAACATAAGATAGGAAAGCCTAAAATAGGAAAGGAAATAAATCCAATCCAAGTAAAATAAATCTTAAATAGGAAATAAAATAAAATTATATTAAGAAATAAATAATATGAACAAATTTTTTCCTAATATAACTTTTAACACTCAAGTTGAAATATGAGTGGAAATCATGTTCAACATAGATTTAAAAACATTAAACAATGGACGAAAAAACTCCTGTGAAGTAGAACTTGAAGTCATCATCTCGTACTGTGATTATCGTTGACTGCAGTTTCTGCAATGTCTGTAGGTGAGCGAAAGGTTCCTAAAGATAATGTTGCAAGGGAGTTTGTAGAAAAGTGGACATTTACAGCTGTCTTTAACAACAATTCCTACAGTGTCTGTAGGTAGGCAGAATGTTCTAACATAAAATGTTGTAGGGGAGTTTGTAGGGGAGTAGACAACCTTTAAAAAAACTGACTTCTAGTTGACTGCGACTGTTTTTTACTGCAGTTCTTGCAGTGTCTTTAGATAAGCAGAAGTCTCATATAGGTAATATTGCAAAGGAGTTTGCAGGAAAGCAGACTACCTGCAGGAAAAAAATTGAATTTTAGTTGATTGCAGTCTTTTTTGACCGCAGTTTCTGGAGTGTCTGTAAGTAGGCGGAATGCTCCTACAAGTAAGGTTGTAGGGGAGCTTGCAGGAATGTAAAAGACCAACAAGAAGAACTGCAGGATATGGCTTACAGAAAAAGGAAAAACTCCGAAGATAGGCCTTGCTACAAGAAAAGCTCCGAATGAGGGTCTAATACATAAAAAAGCTTCGAAGGAGGGTCTGCTGCAGAAAAGGCTCTAGAGAAGGGTCTGTTGTAGAAAAAGCTTCAAAACAACACCTACAATGGGAAAAAATTCTGGAGGAGGCTCTGAGGAAGCTGTTTCATGTTCTGTAAAGCTGATGCAAGCCAGTCCAAAGTGAAAGCCTGCATCTCTGGTTCAACATGTGCATTCATGTGTACCGGTGTAACCGTTATATAGCCATTTTCCAAAGCTCTGAAAATCTAGCTCATCATCAGAATCATCATCCTCGATGGCTATTAGGATGTTGACATGTGACGTGTTGAGTGATTTATATTTTTTCTAATCGTGGCTCACGATTTCCCTGTGATCCAAACTTTTTTCGTTGCGAGATTTGATTGATATCCCTGAAGTTATTGTTGCGCTTGCCCCCAAGTGCTCAAATTGTTCATTGTGTGCAATGATGTTCTCTTCTGCAAGATTTGAGCTTCGAGGCGATGAACCAGATCGGCGTAAGAGTGCACCATCTCCCGCATCAGTGATGAATAGAAAGGTCCTGGGCAGAGGTTTCTAAAAACGGCTCCTCTCAGTAACTTCAGATCCACTCCAGGAATCTAACGGGCTTTAATAGAGAACCTGCAAAAGTATTCCATGAGGGATTGTTCCTCATTTCGACCAACTTCTAAAAAGTGAGATGATACTTTGATGATTTTTCTATTTTCTATGAACTGCTTTATGAATAATCTAACAAGCTCATTGAAGATGTTGATGATGCCTCCCAGGAGAGAGTAGAACCATGTGAGAGCTTGCCACTTGAGAGTTCTCAGAAACACTTAACAGAGAAGCGCATCAGAAACACGGTGAATGTGCATGATTGTTAGATAATTATCGACGTGCTCGTATGGGTTAGTTACCCTTTCATAGGCATCGATGTTTCGAAATTTGAAACCTGCTGGGATATGATGTCAAAGAACTGCTTCAGCAAAAGAAGAAGATTCTTAGAAGTTGCGGCGAGCAAAGAAGCGATCCCTTTTATGCAAAGTAAGCTCTTCTTGAATCAGGCATCGTAGCTCATCTCAGATGATATCAGTAGGAGCGAAAACAAGGCAGAGCGGTGCCAAGTAAGCTGCATGAGACGGATGAGTGGAGCTTATAGTATCTAGAAAGATCGGTGTCTCGTCTCGATAGAGGAATGTTTTCATCATTAGGAGAGAACCCGACGTGGCGTGTTTCTTGTTGAATGTTGAACTGGTGTTAAGTAAGTTACATTGGGTTACAGTTGTCGCTCCATGCGTAAGAGATGAAGGATCTCATGTTGAAACTCTTCCATCCTGCGTGCTCGATCTTCCAAAGAATGCCTCAAGGCACCTTCGTCAGCGGGTTAATGTCTTATGGAGTAGGAGGATGCGGAGGCTTCATGACATTGGCTCCATGACTGCTTTCTGGAATGATGGGTGTTGGAGCGGAATGCGCTGTTGTTGCGAGTGTTGCGTCTGGTGGTCATGCAACAATTCATACAAAAATTTTAGTAATGGGAGTGTTCTATTTTACACAGATGATGTCAAACTGATGTCTGCTAGAAGATTTGCGGCGGTAGAGTATTGAATTATCGTTTTAGTGTTGCACAAGAATTTAACACACACTCAGATGAAAGAACCCAACTGATAATGACATCATAAATTTTTACGTAGAAACCCGGAAAGGGAAAAACTACAAAATCTGACCCAATTAAAAAAGTTTCACTATAAAAAAATAATTACAGTTGCAACTATTTGTCACACAAGAGGGAATTATTAGTTTTTTTAAAGTTACAATGTCGACAAACTGATGAATTTGCTACTAGAAACAAGTAGCGACCAATAGCGATTGGAGGCTTTTGGCCGATGGTGGTCGATGGTTGTTGACGATGATTAAAGACGTTCGACGATGATCAACGGAGATTGGCGGTGGTTGACGAAGGTCAGTGTGGAGCTTTCATTAGCGGTCATAATGGAGCTTTTATTAGTGGTTTTTTATAAAAGTGTAACATTCAAGACATACTTTTAAATACTGGCATAAGTTGTGAAATAATTTTACTAGGATTAATTGAATTTACTAAATTCATTGTCAAACTACTTTTGACATTTATCCCTTATATAATTTACTAAATCCAAATTTACAGGATTTCATCTATTGCCGGACAGCACGTTAAATCCTAAGGGCATAAAGTAAATTTGGGATTTACGGACAAAATCCACAAATCCCAGAGTTACTGCAGCCCAGGATTTATTTTATCCAAAATGACCGTCTAGCGAGATTTCGCTTAAATCTTCGCCTAAATTCACTGCCAGACAGCCCCGAAGTATACTTTTACTGGACATACTGATGGTGTTGAAAGATATTGGTTATAGTTTTTAGAAGGAGGTCCCTCGGGCTTGGGCATAAAAAACAGGGCTACTACCTTCAATGTAAATGGGATATAAACCTCGCATTTTAAGTATTCGATGGAAGTTCCTTATCCTGAACGAAACACTACTAAACAAGGACTAAATACATTTACACACAGTAAAACCCTAAGAGATTCAGTAAACGGAATTAAGGAGGAGAGAGAGGGAAAGCGAACCCTAGCTTCGAAACCAAAGGGAAGTTTTGCGCAAGTAGTGAGCGCGAGACTCATATTTTTCCTGCCGCCTGCCGTCTGCCGCCTGCTCTTTCTTTCTCACTCTCACTCTCACTCTCTGTGGCTCGGGTATAGGGTTTTAGGGCATCCTCATCTTCCAAGAATTGACGATGTGAACCAGAAAACTAAAGGGCCGGAGGGAGAGGCTGCTTATTTTTTGGGCCAGGCAAAATTGTAGAACAAAGCCCATTAATGCATTAGGAAATATTCGCTGCAATTAAATTTGGCCCAACTGGTGCTGCTTTAGAATACGAAACTTGCATAGAATCAATTATATTGAAATTAAAATACATTCATTATAATTTAATATACATGTTATGACTGCTTCGCATTTCTTATTTACTAATTTGCCTTTACGCTTTTTGTTGTAATACTAGCCTTATTAGTCACATAAAGCATTTAAATGAGGTTTCCTATCATCAGTTTTAAGTGAGGGGTAAATTGAAAAAAAAAAGGTAATTATATTATGCAGATTTCTCAATGCATGGTTAGTTATGCTTGTAAATAGGATTATTTTAATATCAACAAATTAAGAGCTGCCGTCCAACATAAGCTTGTATTTAACCCCAACATGTTTAAAAATATGAACCCATGTTCCAGTTGATTTTAAAAATATAAATTTTGCCCTCATTTCTTATCTTCTCTCTTCAGTCAATTTGTTAGAATTGTACAAGCAAATGCTGCATATTTTCTGAAAGGTTGACTGTGACAGTGCAATCAACAACCAATTAAATTAATCAAACATTGACCACTACTTCTGTTTCAAACAATTTCTTAAGAGATTGTTTGGGGTGAAGTTTGTTTTTTTTTTTTTTGTTTACATTTATTTTAAAAGCACTTTTTTAGTCCATTTTCTTAAAAAAATATAAATTATTTTGTGATGTTATAATATATCAACTATATTTTATTTCAAATGAAAATTAAAAACAATCCCAAATGTCTCCCTAATTAAGTAAGATGCTTAATTAGAAGGATAATTTTGTTCTCCCACTTGATTTGTGAAAGAACAGCTCGATTGTCCTGAAAGAGACTTAAATTAATCAAAATAATAAAAATAATAATATTACTATTATTATTGAATATATTTTCTGGATAACCGTATATTGTAAGGCCTTAATCATGATATCATTTTTTATGAGATGGACAGCTATCCAGTTTTTAAGTGAAAATAATAAAAATAAGAGCAAGACACTTCTTCTAGCATGAAGCCAACTGGTACGTAGCACATTAATCCCACTTCCCAACTACTCTTAACAGCAATGGAAATTTATTATTTGTCTGAATATTTTAATTAAATAGCAAATGGGCATGGAAAAAGATGGTCTGTGCATGCCCCCATGGCTTTCTGTTATATATAATTCAAACTGAATCATTTTGAATTAATCCATCTATAACTTCCTTAATTTTAATTATTCCACATAATTATATTGAGTAATCTTGAATGCACGCTCGATGATGCAAATATTATAATCATCCATTTATGATGACACATTAATTTATCCTCCAACAACAGCAGCATATTCTACTTGTCTTCTTGCTATCAGACTTCTAACGGACATCAATTCAAACTCTGAATTCCATAGAACAAAGTATGTTCTCATAACCTAGAATTCAAAAAAAGATGAATTGACATAAAAACCAGGCGTGCTTTGCTCCTTTACAACCGAGTCAGAGCCATATCACCAGCTTCCTCTTGGAATGAGAATAACGACGACTAATACATATATGATGATTAGATAATTATACTAAGCTTTCTCATCTCTCATGGCTGGAAGAGATGGAAATTAAATATGCAGTACACATCACAGCGTTAGTGACTGTTCATGTCGTTGAATAAAACAAATAGTAGTTCATTAAAAGCTGCGAGATTAATAATAAATATATATATATATATACTAAGATGCTTTGTTGCTAGCCTTGGCTTGGACGTCACAAGATAGGCCTTACTTCAGCTTTATTTTAATTTATTTTAATATCAATGGTTTAAAGGCATGTGAATTTCAAAATGGCTGTTGACGTTTTGCATGGGGATTGTTCTTCCATGTACACTTCCTTTTAGGGATATTCTCAGCACTTTACAGTAATGATGATCGAAATTATTCTATTTTATTAATTATATATTAATTTGCAGCTATTTGTGTGCATTGAAATGCAAAAAAATAGAATGCTTTTTCATTAGCCTGAGTAGATCAGTTCCTGATCACTCTTTTTTAAATTAAAACATAGTTTGCCAGCAGTTAAGTATGCGGGTATTACAAGGGTATGGACTAGCTCAGAATTATTTTATAGAATGGAAAACAACGGATTGAAGAGAACAATTTTTAACGTAAACCATAGAGAAAAGAGAGAATAGCAACTCCAATCTGTGTCAGTGCAGTTAATTCTTTATTTCATGGCATATACCTGATCAATTGTTATGAAGAGAAGGTTTCCACTCATTAGTTATTCCCTTCTTTTTTTTTTTTCATTACACATTACAAACATGGGGTACTAGTACATGGGGTACTAGTGAGGTGTTAGGTTGACCTCTATCAATTTATTGCAGAAAAGAAGCTGTAAAATATTATTTAAAACGTACAATAAAGAAAAGTAATCACCTCTTTCTGCCTTGATTTATTTTTGAAACTATTGATTAAAGATTGGTGCTAATTAATGTATGCTCAAATAACACTCTTTGTTTATAAATTACCTCTTTAACAACAAAGTGATCCATCTCCACTGGATCTCCATCATCTGGCACGAATCTCGAGACATGACATAGATGTCGAGAAAACTTTTTGAGTGAGAAATATTTAAATCTCAATAAAAACTAATCAAAAAACTCTGGTTTCAACGAACTTACAGTTAAACTGACTAGCTCAATAAGAAGAACACAATGTTATCAAAATTAGTCCTATCCAAGTCAAATCAAACTCAGATTAAGTCATTATATCACTCTTGAAAGTTTTCCTGATAAATTTACAAGGTTAAACGAATGTCGAATCTAGCAAGTCTATAATTGAATCGAGTGTCTCGAAAAAACAAATCCAATGAGCTCAAGATTGCTCAATTCTTACATCATCTAGGCTCTCAAATGTTCATCAAATACCGTATGATCGAATGACGCCTTCTAAACCGTCATATCAAAGTGGTTCATATTTTTGCATTCATTGCACTCAAAACACTATAAATAGAACCCCAACCCTCTCATGAGAATGATCTAGAGATTAGAGAGAAAACTTAAATCTTTCAGAGTAAGTTGAAGTCCAGCACCACTCCTGTCACTATCGACAACCACCGACCACCGTCGACAATCACCGACCGCCGTCGAGCACTATTGTTATCGCCAACCACCACTAACCGTTGTCAACCACTGACCATCGTTGATCACCACAAATCTTCATCGGCCACCACCGACCGGAAGTTGTCAGTCGACGTTGTAATTTGGAAAACCTAATAACTCTTTCTCGTATGTGGAACAAGATGTCATTTTCATCATTAACCTATAGTAGATTTTTACATTTGGGTCAGACCCCGTGATTTTTTCCTTTTACGGGTTTTTCACGTAAAAATTTCTGGTGTCATTACTGGTAGTTTTCTTGTACCTGAGTGTGTGTTGAATTCTCGAGCAACGTTAAGACAATAATTCATTACTCTACCGCCACAAATTTTCTTGCAAGCATCAATAAGTTTAACATCTTTTGAATATTTGTTTCATAGAGAAGAAAATGGTTGCAGCATTTTCATAACAATTTTTTTTATGACTTCGCAATAATGTCAATCACTCCATGCCGTGAAATAAAATTCATCTGTCATAATCCGTGAAAAGTAGCCTCAAAATATATATGCTACAAATTCTAATTTCATCGTGGATGAAGTAATAACACAATGTTTTGTACACTTTCAAGAGATTACACTGCCAACTAAAAAGAACAAAGAAACGAATGTGAATTTGTTAATATTTATGCATCCAGCAAAAATTGATCAATCTGAATAATATATAAACTCAAACTCGTTAGATCTTCTATAAACGAGCATGTACTCTTTTATTCCTTGTAGTATTTTTTTAACTTTCTTTAAAGTATTATGATGATGGTCATTTTTTTTTATTGCTTTGACATACAATCAATATTTCCTCAATAAAACTAATATCTTAGGGTTTGTTTGGGGCAATTGCAGCTGTTTGAGAAAACAACTGCAAAGTTGAAGCACAAGAAGTCATTGTTAAAAAAATTGTTTTGGTTATTACAATAAAAAATCAAAAAGTTATATTGTAGTTTTTTAGTAACTATTGCACATAGTCATGTCCAATTGCAAAACACAGCTTTTAGTTATAGTTTTTTTTTTTTTGAAAAAGCAGGCAAAACATAAAAAAAAAAAAAAAAAAAAAAAAACTATGGTACGATTACTTAAAAATATAAAGTGTTTTGGATCTTGATACTTTTTTAGCAATGAGGCTGCTTCCACCCGAAAATTGGGAAACAAATGATACGACTCCAACAAGTATTCATCATCTGACATGAATTTCGAGGGATGAAATGGATCTCGAGATGACTTTTAGAGAAAAAAAATACTCAAACCTTGATAACATGTCATTGAAAGCTCCGATTTCAACAAAATTATAATCAAAATGATCGATTCAATGATAAAAACCTAATGTTATCAAAATTGGTCCAATTCTAACCAAATCTAGCTCATATTAAGTCCTTAAACTGCATTTAGATGTTTTTTGGACTTATTCGGAAGGTCAAACGATTATCGATTATGACGAGTTTATAGTAAAATCGATTGTCTTGACAAGATGAATTCAACGAGCCAAGATCACTCAATTCTGACATTGTTAAGACACTCAAATGTTCATTTAAATGCAATCCGATCGGCAAAAGCCTTCTGAGTTGTCTGATCAAAGTGATTCATATTCCTGCAGTAATTAAATCTAAAGCTCTATAAATAGAGCCCCAACCCTCTTATGCGGTGGGAAGAGAACTTAAAGTAGGAGGAGAGCTTGAAGCTTGGGAGAGAGCTTAAAGCATTAAGAATGAGTTGAATTCCAGCACTACTTCTGCGTCGTCAATCACCACTGATCGCCGTTGGCCAACACAAACTGTCGTTGTCTTTCACAGCCGTCGTCGACTCCTGCCGACCATCATCAACCATCGT